TGGGGATAGACGTGTCAGAGACCATAAAATTGGCACAGGATAGAGCAGAGTTTAGAGCTGTTGTATGTACATAGGATCACTGAGTCACAGGGAACTCGAAGACACATAATAACAACATTACTATATAATGCCAAAAGATTATAGTCTTTTGAGTAACCAATAATTATAAAGTCTCATTTAAATAGACAAAATTTTTTGTTTTGTTTGTTTCTAGTAAATTGATATTTTTACATTAAAGTCTGGAAAGTAGCAAAGTCTATTTTAATGCTTTAAGGCATAAATGTTATACTCTTCCAAATTAGAAAATCTTATAAACAAATGAATTTATTATATTGTATGCAGAAAACTTAGAAAAAATATCTTTTCCTATACTGTTTCTGGCAGGTATTATTTGATAGTTTTTAGAATAAATGTTTGGACAAAGTAATTATATTTTGCCAAGTACAAATGCTAATATTCAGAAGACAATAAATAGGCTATTTTATAAAGGTATTCAAGTGAATAATTAATAATCTGATTAATAAGGGACTACAGTTTTTTTGCTTGGGGTAATTTCATTGCACTGATCCTTAATAATAATATTAAAAGTCATTATTACAATAATTTTTAAAATATTTATATTTTTGACATGGAAGTCCTATTTAAAAGTCATATTTTGATTAAAATGTTCATTTATCTGACTTGGAAGTCATATAATAGTTATTTTATTTTGAAGCCACCAGGAGGCTCTAGATATCAAACATTTTCAGGCTTAGTATAATTGAGAAATTTTTTGCACTTTGATTCAATATACTATTTATTTGAATCTAAGCTAATTTAAATAAAGAAAAGTTATTAATATGTTAAAATATTTTGATATGAATAATTATAATAATCATGTTTAAGTTTATATTCTAAATTTTTTCTAGGGAAATAATGACCCAGTAACTTGGCCAAACTGTGTTCTTCATTCTTTTCTTCTAGAACAGATCTTCTGTTCTCAGAATATTGACCGTTATTCAAACAGTGGATATTCTTGACTGTCTTGTGATTCTGTTTCCCTTCTTTTACTTTCAGGTTTTTGTCTACAGTGATCAGGGGATAGACAAATTTATATTGTGGCTTGAGTTTAATGGCCCCCTTTTAGAAGACACTTGCTGTCTATTACTCAGTTAAAAAAAAAAAAGGTAGACTGAAGTAGTGCAGCCTTAATGTCCAGGTGCTTTCTGAAGCTTAGTATTCAACCTAAGGTTGCTGTGATCCTGAACCTTTTGCCATTGGGGTGACAAATGCCATAGTGGTTACCCATGGTGGACAGGGTTTGGTGGAACTCCCAGTTTAAGACAGCTTTGAAAGCAGGAGTGCCTCTGGAAACTCCATGAACTTTGATAAATGATGAGAGTTATAGAAAAATTCCAGGCTCTTTATTCATAGGGTCATTATGAATTGTGCTCAACTCAGGGGCAATCAACAACAACAACAACAATTTCACTTTATAAAAATTATACCTTTTTGGGTTTTGCCATTAATGTGCCAGTTTTTTTGTGGCACTTTTTGAATTTTATAAAAGCTTTTAAGAAATATGCATCATAAGTTTGTTCTTACCGAGGAAAAGAAACAAAGAAAGACATCAATGAACAAATCCAGGAAATATACTTTGAAATTACTTTAAGAAATGTATAATGGTAATAGCATCACCTATCTGACAGATTTCATTGCTCTAAGATTGAATGAGATATTGCTGAGTGTCAAAGTAGGAACAGTTTGCATGTTCCTTACTATGAAACCTGATTTAGTGTACATTTGAGCCAATAAAAATATTTTGAATATTTTAAAGATAAACTATCTTAAGATCTTTAAAATATCAATAAGAATATCTTATCATGCTATACATTGCAAAGCTCAGATGATTTTCATAATAAGGAAAATGTCATTGTGATTTTATGAGGTTGACTTCATGGAAAATTATATCTACAGACAGGTAGAACATGGCGTTCTTCTTTCTTCCTCTTTTTTTCTTTTTCCTCCCCTCCTTTTTTCCTTACGTCCTTGGATTTTTTGTTTGTTTTAGTCCCATCAAGTGTTGTAAGTGTTGAAATATCTCATACATCTGAATGAAATCACTAGGTTAACAAGAGAGATATTTAATAATCATGACTTTCTTATTTTATATTATGTAATGAAATAATATTTTTATGAAATACTTTAAATAATGTTTATTTGGAAAAAGGAGTGGCATCCACTTCCTAAATGGTGTGCCTCCAGAAACCCTGTGAACTTTGAAAAATGCCATTAATTGTAGAGGGCCTTCAGGCCTTTTGTTCATGGAGTTGCTATGAGTCGTGCTCAAATCAAAGGCAATCAACAACAACGTTTGTTGTTGTTGTTGTTGTTGTTGTTATGTGCCATCGAGTCGCTTGTGACTCATAGCGACCCTATGTACAACAGCCCTAAACTCCACTCTGTCCTGTGCCAATCGCACCATCTCTGACACTCCCATC